GGGAAAGAGGGAAGCCCCACAGGGTGTGGAGATGTAGGAGCCCCTTTCTTGCTGTGCTCGTGCAGGTAGGAGGGAGTGGAGGGGGACACATGTTGGCATGTGAGGGAGATACAAGAAATAAATTGTTGAGGCTGAGGGTGGTGCAACACTGTCCCAGGCTGCCCAGAGAGGTGGTCGCTGCCCCATCCCTGGCACCATCCCAGGTGAGGTTGGATGGAGCTCTGAACCCCCTGCTCTAGCTGCAGATGTCCCTGCTCCGTGCAGGGGGTGTTGAACCAGATGACCTTGACAGGTCCCTTCCAACCCAAACCAGTCTGTGATTCTATGACACATTTGTCACCCAGCACAAACGATGGCTTCTTGGGGGATGTGGTGGTCCCAGCCCTGATGTCCATGGGTCAAAGAGTGACCCATCCATACCTACAAGACTTGCTCCAGCAGCAGCAGATTGAAGCAGCGTTAAAAACAATGCTAGTGTTACTAATAATACAGACAAGCCAAGCAAGGATTTGCTGTTAAAAATACACTGTAAGCCAGTCTGGTCTGTCCAGACATGAGCTGGGGATGAAGCAAGGGAAGGAACAGGGTGATTAGGACCCTGGCCAGGTGGGGAGGGAACGAGGAGCGCTTCCGAGCCGCGCATTTTCTTAAAGCCTATGCGAAAGTGTTACTATTTGCCTAATGAATAAGCACAGTTTTTAAAAAACAAAACAAAACAACAAAAAAAAAATAACCCTTCGGTGAAGAAAAGCACCAAACTCCCGTGGTCTCGTGTGAGTGACTGATCCCAAGGTGCGTGCGAATTTACAGCGTCTGGAGTTGCATCCGTGTGTCAGGTTCCTTTGCGTTTAAATAATTTGTACCAATAGGTTGGGATAATAGAATGAGTTTAAAAAAAAAAAAAAACAAAACAAAACGAGTGACAAAAAAAAATAAATAAATCTCTAGGAACAAAAAAAAAAAAAACAAAAACATTGATAGTTTACAGGGTTTTGTGAGTTTAAATGCCTTATATTTAACAATCATAATTTATGACTAACTTGTAGATATCGTGGGTTCTTATTTAATTATTTTTATAGGTTTTTTTTTTCATTTTTAATTATAATTTATTTATTTAGAAATTAATACTAATTTTTTTTATTACTCCTATTACCTCATTTTTGCATTGTTTCTGGGAATGGAATGCTTTGCATGCATCGGTACTTTAAAAAAAAATAAAATAAAAAATTAAACATAGGATGTGGGGGATAATGCTTATCTTGTCAAAAAAAAAAAAAAAAAAGAGAAAAAAATCAGGGTGTGTGATTACAAACTGTATTACTGTGGTGCTGTTACCTTGGATACATTCCATAAAAATGCAAACCTTTGATTCTGTATGCTGTGACATAGTGGAAAACTGCAATATAGTGACTGTGTTTAGCACATATATATGAATATTATTTGCACTCATAATCAAACTCTGGTGGTCCCTTCACCTGCGTCCTTGCGCATTGAAGATGATTCATGGCACTCTCCAAAACCAAAACTTTTAGGTCTGTTCTTGCTCCCACCCTGTCCCCAGTGCCACTGGTGATTGCTGCTGCTCTTGCTGCCTGTGTCACCCCACAGTAACACCCAGCAGGTCTTCACTACGAGGCTGTGCTTTGGGAAATCCATGCATTTAGGGCACAGCTCTGCAAATTGGTTTAAAAGCTGAGGAAGGAAGCCCAGGGGTGGTGGCTTTGTCTGATTTTGGGGTCTGTCTGTGCTCGGTCTGGCTCTTCCCACCCTCTGTGCATGCACCCAGCTGGGTGCTGCAGGGAGGATGGAGAGGGCAATTGATGGAGGCTGAGCTTGGAGGCCACAAAACTAAGGGGAGGCAACAAAACTAAGGGATTCGTTGCAGTTTAGAAGGGTTGGCCCCTGGTCTAGCTGAGAGGGGCTGGGATGGAGGCAGGAGTGATTTGGGATCCATTTATAACGCCTGGCCACGAGTGTTGGCCATCACCCAGCTGCAAAACAGGCATAGAGCAGAATCTCTCCTCTTGAAAACTTTCCAGATGGTTTTGTTGAGGGAGAAACCTCACCTTGAAGCTTTCTAACCCACTGCAGAGCTGGGACATGCACCAAAGCCCTCCTGTCCCCAGGGAGCTGACACCCTGCTCCTGCAGCAGTGGCCAAGCATCCCCCTCCCCATCCCCAGCCATGGCTGTGCTGCTCTCACAACGCATTGCCCTTCCCAAAAGGCCCCTGGATACCAACTGCTTGAGCCTCTTTGATGGTATTTTAAGTTTTAAGCCATAACTACACTTGTTCAACACAGATGCTCGGCCACGTATGGAGAGAAGTGGAGTTTGATGCATGCACTCAGCCAGTAGCCATCTCCCCCAAAAGGCTTTGGATACAATTCTCTTTTGGGTTAGAAAGGCACAAAATGACTCTACCTTAATTATTATTTTTTTTTATCTCTGTCCCTTCAGGATGCTGCTCTGCTTTTTTGACTTTGCCTTACCCTGGGTTTAAAACCTGTCTGTGTTTTTTATTTCCTTGCTGCTCTGTAGCACTCCTCCCCTGTAGCCTGGAGCTGTGGTTTTGAGCCATGTGGGGACAGGGGGTCGGTTGTTCCCCCTCACAAAGACACTGTAAAAGGGATAAGTAAAACCAGGAGCAAGGAAAAAGAACAAAATAAAGCTCTCCTTTAATGACCCAGGCCGGTGAAAGGATCACCCACATTTTTGTACTCCTACTGCTGTTCTGTTGTGCTGTGCAACATTTTGCTACATAGACTATTTTATAGAAGAAAGCTAGAAAAATATTTATTATTAATATTAAAGCAATAGTGCATTGAAGAAATGAAAAGACATTAGAAATTGTGTAAATGCTTAGATTCACTTTTGGTGGATTTTTTGTACTTTATTTATAACTAATAAAACAAACTGCATTGCTAACTATAAACCTGTGCCACACGGAAGTCACCTGGCAGGGCAATCGCTTGGTCTTTATTTACCACTTCTTTCTTCGGGTCAAAGTCCACTCTTCTGTCACTGACATGCAAAGGAGATGCTGCTGGGTTATAAAAGACTCTGCCCAGCTGCTTTGAAGCAGCTACTGGTGCATGAGGGCGAGGCAGAGGCAGGGTGAGGCTCTCCACGCCAGGCATACCTCCACGTGTGATGTCCTGTAGCACCAGGTTTGTGATTAGGTACCAAAATCACTTTCTAAGACCAGGCTGGAAGTTGCCTGGTAAAGGGGGTTTTCCCTCTAAACACCTTTTTTGTTACCTGTTGGAGGATCCAGTGGGTCATGCACCCAACATTCTCAGTGCAAGAAAGAAACGGACCTGCTGGAGCGGGGCCAGAGGAGCCCCAGCAATGCCCCGAGGGGGGAACCCCTCTGCTGGGAGCCCAGCAGGAGAGAGTTGGGCTGGGGCAGCCTGAGAGGAGAAGGCTCCAGCTGGGGAGACCTGCTGGGGCTGCCAGGGCTTCAAAGGGCCTAGAAGAAATGCTGGGGAGGGACTTTTGAGCAGGGTCTGTTGGGACAGGACGAGGGATAAGGCAGTCAAACTGAAAGGAGGAGATTCAGACTAGAGAGGAGGAAGAAATGTTTGACACTGAGGGTGCTGAGCCCCTGGCCCAGGCTGCCCAGAGAGGTGGTCGCTGCCCCATCCCTGGCACCATCCCAGGTGAAGTTGGATGGAGCTCTGAGCACCCTGCTCTAGCTGCAGATGTCCCTGTTCCCTGCAGGGGGGTTGCACCACACGACCTTTAAAGATCCCTTCCAACCCAAAATATTCTATGATTCAACCTTGCATCCTCCACAGCTCATTTCATAGGTCTCCTTCCACTTTTATTTTTTCCCACAGTGAATGGTGCCAGTCTCTGCTCCTACCCACTCTAGGTTCAGCTGTTCCTCCTTACACAGAAACCCTGAGACCAGTCCCCAGCTTTGACTATGTGACCAGACTAAATAATCCTTGGAGACTGGCAGCTGCTGATCTTGAAGATTTGGTTCCTGCAGCCGAAGGGAATTGCTGGCTCCTCCAGCACCCAGCAAAGGCTGCGTAAGGGATGCACCCCTTTCAGGCAACACGAAGCTCCCATCACAGGAAGCTTTTAGAAATTCAGAAAACAGGTTAAAAACGACCTGCTCGTCCAGCTGGGGAAAAATCTCAGTTGCTCACTGAGCCCTCGCTTACGTCCTTTGAAAGAGGAACGGTGCGGATAGAGTTGCAGGAGATGGCAATTGGTTTGGCTTCAAAGCTGCTGCATCAAACACAACACAGCAGCTTGATCTGATAACAGCCCTGCCAAGCACGGTGAGCAGTAACCAGTGGGTGTGCTGGGGAGGGAAAGGGTTGTGCTCATTCAGGTGTAACAGTACCGGCCAAGATGCGATATCTTTATTCACAGCGAGCATCTGCCCTCACAGCAGCTGCCCAGGATCAGCAAGCTGAGCCTTTGTTTGTGTTTTGTAGTGTCTCAATCTTCAGCTGGCCCGCAGGCTGCAGCTCAGAGCTGTACAGCCCCGTCAGGGAATATATTTTTTTAAAATGGATCTTTTTTCTATGTCAAAATGGACCTTTACACATAACGATGGGGCAAGGGAGATTATACGACAGGTCCTTCACAGCACTCAGTCATCATGCATGTAAGGCTGCTGTAGGCACATGATGCTACCAAAAATGCTTCACAATTTCACAGAGATTTTAAAATAATTCTCTTGTGTCCTGCAGAAAGCAATGTAGTCCCTCTTAACACCCAACACTTCAAGGGACCCTTCATTATACTTCTTTTCACTGCCAACACTTTCATGAAAGAAGCCATTTAATTTTTAACTTAAAATTAAATTAATAATGGATATTTATTATAGTAATTAACTTTTTTTTTTTAAATTAAATTTAAAATGGCTGCCAATGGGAGGCCCTCAAGGCTTTGTTTTTTTTTTTCTAAACACTGCACTTCTTCAGGCTTCCAAACTGATGGGGACCACAGAGATGGTGGAACACCCTGGTTTTGCAGGCTCCTGCTGAGTGCCACCATACTTGTCCTTTGCTCTCACTTCTCATCTATACTAATATTTTTGTATGAAGGATGTGCATTAAAATCCCATCAATTAAGAAATAAGGATAAATAAAATAAAAAAAGGGTGGGAGGGGGAGGAGGAGTTGTGCATCTGCCCAACATGCAGTGTTGGGAAGCTCTGCCCCAGCAGCAGAGATTGCCTGAGCCCTGCAAAAGGTGCAGCACTAGGTCAAGTTGGGCTTTTCTCCTCCCCAGTTCTCTCCTCAGCCAAGAACATGTTGGTTTTAGCAGCTTAGAAGCAAATCCAGCCACTGGAAAAAGTCCACTCTTGCCTTATTACTTTTGTAGCATTAGTTGTTGTAGCAACAGTACAGCTCCCCAGAGCAAGGGTGGAGTTGAGTTTTGCACAAACAAGGGGCATTTTTGAAGTGTTTGGAAGAAAAAAGCAGAGTTTTTTTCATGCTTTGCCAAGGTTGTCTTCCTGGGAGGCAGTGAGGTTTATGATTCCCTATCAACCCACTCCACTCCCCTGGCCCTTTTTAGGATAGCATTGCCTGAGGGTCATCACAGTTTTTGTGTTGAACATGCCTGTCCAGGGATGGGAGGTGGTTTTGGTGGCAACTCGGGTATCTGCAATCCCATCTCTCACCTACACAGTGTTTTGATGACCATGAAGGTGTTCATTCCTGCCCCAACACGACCTCAATCCATGGCTGTAGCCACTTACTACATACAACTGCTCCCAGGTGTGAGCACATCTCATACAGAGGATATGCATTTCTCTTTCCTCCTTGTCTCACACAGGGATGGTGTGTGGATCAGGAGCTGCCTCGCTGCTCCCAAGGCCTGGAAACATGGAGCAGGACAGGTCCCATATGCATCTTGTTGAGTTTGCTCAGGAGCTGGCAGGAGTTAAGCTGCTGAGATGCAGAGGTGCTCTAAAACCAGCATCTCTGGCCTTTCCAAGTGAAGTGGATGCTGACTGGGGTGAACTGGAAATGCTGGGACTACAGCATTTTAATTGGAAAATATCCTATTTCACTGCAACACACATTTGTCTGAAAATGGGACAAGTCTATTGGCAGGGAGGGTTTTTTTTTCATAGCTCTGCTAGACTAGGGTGGGAGGGAAAGCAGAGAGATCAAAAGCCTGTTTATTGTTTCAAAACACCCACTGGGGAACTGCTGCTTTCCAGTGACACTGAACGGGTGAAGCTCTGCTCGTGGGACCTCGTGGCTGGCTGGGGAGCCTGAGCCCCACCCCAGCAGGGTCCCAGGGATGCAAGATGCCTGCTGACCCTAGCACCCACCTTCAGCTCTCCTGAGGTCTGCTCTGCTTCTCCTCTAAGCTCCCAGCCCCTGGCTCAGTCCTTGCTCAGAGCTTGGTAGCACCGGTCTGCAGTGAGGAGGGAGAATACAGCCAGTAAAGGCCAAAAAGTCATTGTTCCCAACACTGAGCAGTTGATCATTGATCAGGTTGGTCATGGGGCTCAAATAAGTAACTTGCTCTGCTCCAGAACTATTGCAGTGTGTCTTTATGAACTTTAAGATCCCTTCCAACCCAAACCATGCTATGACTCTTTGAAAAAAGCTTCTAGGAGGGGGAACAACCTTTCTCCTAGGACACAGGTGGGCCAGGAGGAAGGCTGTCTTCTCATGGTGGCTCAGACATCAGCCTTTCTCTCCTCCTAAGGATGTGTCCTGGGCTCCAGAAGTAAGGATTTGTAAACAGATTTCCTTGTTGGTACCTGTAGAGATTCAAGTAGCAGGGAAGAGCTCATCTACAGGAGCACTGGCCTTTACTGCAGCCAGGAAATCCCTTCCCCACTACAGAAAAAATCAAGGCAGGAATCCATATTAAAAGGAAAAAAAAAAAAAAAATCAAAAAAACCCACAAAATGAGTGGCAGCTGCTCTGAAACAGAGTTAGTATTCAGCCCATATAGGGTAAGATTATCCTGAGACAGCTTTGGATATACTTAGCACAGCTTCCTTGCAGTGGGATTGATTGTCTGGGAAGTCTTTTGCTCTGCCTCCTGTAACTGTAGGTCTCAGCTTTGGGCAGACCCGGCCAAATTCACTCCAAGAGCTGGGTCTGGATTGTGCAGGGAAAGCCCACAGAGGGAAAACACCACCCAGACCCCATCCCTTGGGTCATGGATGGATGGATAATGGGTTCTTCCCAACCTCCCTGCAGAAAGCTCTGCTGTGCCCACTGCTTTTGTTGTGGTGCCTTCTGGAGGTGTGTGTGTCAGTGTCTGGACATGCAGTGTTCACTGTTGCCAGAAGTGGGGAAAATGGGAATCTCCAAACTCAATTGTCTTAAATATATTTTCTCAATTGTCTTATTCTCTTTAGTCACCTAAAGGGGTGACCCACCAGTGCTGGAGGCCCATGGGCTTTCCCAGCCCAGGCAGGGCAGAAGATGCCATTTGAGCTGTTAAATGACACTTCATGGCCTTGCTCATTGTGGCTTTTAATCATACTTAAGAAACAATTTTATTTCATTCACCGTTTTATAGGTGCTTTAAAAAAAAGCAATACAGCTTTTACAAAATGTTAACCCCGGAAGAACATCTTGCTACCAAAAATCTCTCCATACAAAAGGCAGAGTTTTAAAAAGTGAAATGCCATGTAAAACATGCATGCAGAAGGGACCAAAACCCTCCTCAGTACCTAGGAAAAAGCTCCCTCCAGATCAACCCATCGCCTCGGTTTTCATCCAGCCACTTCCCGCAGGGAAAGATGGTGGTCACGCCGGTCGCCGAGTTGGTGATCTCCACCCTCTCCACCAGCCAGCCTGGCGCCAGACCGCTGTTGTCATGCTCAATCCGGACTTTCCTCAGCTCCCCCATGTCCAACGTTTCCAGGTAAAACCTGTTGGTTTTGCCCCGCTCGAAGAGGTTCCGGAACTTCTGCTTCAGCGCCCTCTTTCCCGAGTCCCCATTCAACCCAAAGATGGTGATGAACACGTTGGCGTCGGTCCCCGCACCCTTTTCAAAGCCTGTGACCACAATGGTCTCGTATTTGACTGGCACCAAGCTCCGGGCTTTGCTGGCAAAGCTCTCGATGACCTTGGCACACTCAAAGACTTTGTAGTCCCGTCTCTTGTAGCGCAAAGGGATTTTCACATTGCACCTGAAGAAGTATCTGGTGAAGGAAGGTCAGCAGCTCGTTAATAGTATGGCCAATTAAAGACAATTTTACAAACGTTATGGTCTGGGCGTGCTAGTAAATTGCCCAATATTAACACTTTTTCAGTACTTTTCCACATATGTGTGAGCACTAGAGTTTCTCTCCAGAAAGTCAACTGTGATTGGGCTTTGCAACTGCAGCTGGGAAGCTCAGCGTCTTCCTGGGCAGTCACAGGCACCTTGCACGTGGCAGGGCTGGTGTGGGGCACTTGTCACCCCTTTGCCTGTGCAATGGCACGTCCATTTACAGATCCACTGAGGCAGGACGAGCAATAGGCCCCACAGCTAACACAGCCCAGCAGTGCTGAGTGTGACTGGTCTGAGCACAGGGAGATCAGCGACTACCCTCACTGATGGGATGGTTAAGGTTGGGCTAGAAACTAGGAAAAGGGGATGGGAAAGATGGGAGGAGAAGTTTTAAGCCCCTCCCTTTCCTCCTCCAGACCGCCCAGCGTATCCTTAGCAGGTGAAATTTTTCCTTATATCCAACCTTTCCCTCCCGTGGCACAACTTCAGGCTGTTTCCTCCTGTCCCATCACTTGATACGTGAGACAAGAGACAAACTTCCATCTCCTTCTCCCTTGGGCAAAACTGGCTGTCTGGCACTAGCCTCATCCCACTGGGGTTTGGAGATGGATACCAGGGGGATGTGGGAGAGGGGAGTTGGCTCAAGCATGGTTGGCCCCAGGGGAGAGCTCACCTGCAGCTCCATGGCAGTGTCCCCACAGCCACCAAGTCACGTGCCAAGTCCACCTCCATAATTTACACCTTTGCAAAAATCTACACCTGGATGATGTTTTCTTCACCTCCAAGCACACGAAGCCCCCATGAAACACTCTATCAAGAGTGTAAGGTTAAAATTTCATCTTCTGTGCACAAAAGCAGCCCAAGCTGCCCAGGGCAGTGGTGGAGTCCCCACCCCTGGAGGGGTTTCCAAGCCGTGGAGATGTGGTGTGAGGGACACAGGGCAGTGGGGACCTGGCAGGGATGGGGAATGGTTGTTCTCAATGATCTTAAAGGTAATTCCCAACCTTAACGATTCTATGATTCTATAAAAAAAAGGCACCGAGCACAGAGCTGATGTGTACCAGATGCTGAAAGGCTCTGGCTCTGCAGTGCTGCCTCTGGTGATGTGCAGGGAGCACAGCACGTCCATAAATTACCCAATACCTGGCACCCGGCCAGAGGCTGGATCTCTCTCTGCTTTTAATGATGTATTTCATTTCCAATGATGCAGATCATTTCCAAATGACTTTTTTTCCCCCTCTCCTCCCCCCTCACCAAACTGCATCGGTCCTCCTGGAGGATTGCAACCCGTGTGTGTGAAAGAAGCACCTGGAGGAAGGGTTACTGCACTTCCAGCAGTGCTGGGCTTCTTAAGCACTTCCAACAATTTTGACATTTTCCACAGCCAAAGTTAAGCACTCCTCTCTCTGGAAAGAGTCTTTGTAAAGAGAAATCACGGTGGGAGCAATATTTTAGGCTCAGGGACAGAAAAACTTCATGGGAAGGGGGATGGAGGGGTTGCCTGATGCTGCAGTTTTATTTCCTGGGCTACCTAATAATTTATGGTCTGGAGTTATAATGGATCAGACCAGTCTCCATGAGGGGTAAGAAGAAAACAAGATGACCTTTCTAGCCCTGGGGTTTGCAAGAAATGTTCTGAATACAGCCCTTCCATATATTAAAATCTACTACTAAAAGGCAAAAATCTCAGTATAACTCAAAACTACTGCTGCAGCAAACTCATAATTCTTTTAATTTGGTCTTGGGCTTGATTAGGTGGGGTTCTTTTTGATGTTTGGTATCAGGAATACCTGGAGCAAGAGTCTCACCATCTGCTCCAGCTGATCGAACAGCACTGTGAAGTGCTGCATCTGCAGAGCTGGAGCCCTGCTTCAGTGCAGTGACAGGCTGCAGGCTTCACCAGCATCTCCTGACTGCCCTCTTCAATTTAAAACAACTTAAAAAAACCTTAAGGCTTTATAAGAAGGTCTTTGGCCCCTTCAAAACACATTGTTTCAGCAGTTTCAACACGCTCCCAATGAGTTTAGTGCATGGATTTGATTGCACAGCTGGACTTCAAGCATTCCAGGTTTTCCCCCTCCAGGAGAAAAGAATGTGTTTTAGTATGCAATTGACTGAGTTTTCATTCAGCAAATATTATTGTGACTCTTGTGCTGGCTGATTAATTTGCTAGGAGAGACTCTTAGCTTCTAAAAAAAAAAAAACCACTAAACCACTTCAAGGATTTCTTCTTAAACACTCAATTGTCTCAGTTGGAAAAAGCTCCTCAAATTCTTTAGCAGCAATGGAAATATCATGGAGAGGAAAAGAAATCTGCAATTAACATTGTGGATATTTTCTCTGAAGAGCAGTTTGTTCTGCAGATGGATGATCTTCTCTGGCTCCTGCTTAATCCCTGTAGTCTCTGCTCCCTGCGTTGTGAACATCACCCCCTCCAAAGATGGGGCTCAGGCCAAAGAATGTAGGACCTGACATGCTCAGGGCTCTCCAGATATGTTCATTTTTCAACCATGGCAGATTTTGGTCATATTCAGATCAGAATAGCTGAGCTGCACAACTATAATGTTTCTAGTGGACCTTTTGGACCATTTCTTGACCATTTGAGATGAGGACCTCTCGTCCAAACTGGTCTGGATCAGAGGTTCAGGTTTTGTCCTATTCTCAACTTTTTCCTAGGATCTATTTACAAGACTTACCTAAAGGTGAGTCTGTGCAGAGCATCTTCCAAACCCTTCAAATTTCAGCCAGTCTAAGTATTTTCCACAAGCTAAGACACTGATTTGTCATAGCTGCAAGATTCACCCAAGCCAAGTTGTTTATAAACGTATCTGCTCATGCAAATGCTCTGTCTAACAGCTCAGAAATCACACAGGCAAGTCAGGCAGGGACGTTCTGTACCTGACACACCAAGCAGCTTGTCCTCAGCTTTCAGGAAGGGATTAAGATTGGCTAAGACTTTCTGCTGTTTCTTGGATCTGAAATGCTTCAGGAGGATGCATTCAGAGCTGCTCAGCTTCTCCATGCCCTCCCAGAGAGGCTCCTTGAAGATGAGAAGACACTTACTTGTTGCAAAGCTCCATCTCCGTTACGATGATCTCTTGGACATGCCAGAAGACATCAGCTTTTGCAGATGACTTCTTCCCATCTTTTGGACAGTGACCAACACAGATGGCTGCAATATCACCAACGTTCTTTGAAGAGAACTGAAATGTGTCTGTTGCTCCCCTACAGGAAACAGGGAGGAGTTTGAGTTAGTATCTTGAAGGCTGGCAGTAACTTGTCTCGTACGGGCATTAAGTGATTTGCACATGACTGCAGAAGATAAAAGATAAGCCTTCATTTAAAGTCATTTGATTTAACCTACAATCATTCAACACAAAGTATAATTTCCATTATAAGTTCAGTATTTTCTCTGATTATCAGTGACACTTTAAATTGTTGCCACTAGGACTTTCCAGGACAAACTTGAGCTGTTCCACATACGAAATCAATTTGCCTCATTACAGATAAAGCTAAAGAATGACTAATTTCCCCTCCGGCACTTATTCATTCATCCTTGACAGATACCGTATCTGTTACATATCTACTCACCACAGCCATTTAAAATTTGCTATTTCAGCCACTCTTCCTGAAGCTCATCTTGAAAACAGTTTGGAGAAACAACAGGTCTCTGTCAAACCCTTGGCTGTCTCCCTGTCATGTCCCCCACATATTCTGTTAGGTTTGTCTCCTTGGACTGGTCCTTATTCCAGCCTGCCTCCAAGGATGGACTGTGACTAATGCTTTGGAGAGTGATGTCTTTAACTCCACCCTAGACACCTTCAGCTTAAGGTCAGGAGGAACCTCCTCCCAATTTTCACGTGAAATCCCAGAGCCCACATCACCTGTACTTCCACCTTCCTTTACAGAACCACAAGATAAAGCTTCCCTCCCTTCAAAGCAACAGAACATCGGCAGTGTCCATGGCTTTGGAGAGATTCCTGTCTCCTAAGGGCATGCCGTGACCTTAAAGAAAGCAGGAAACCCACCTCACATCTGGAGGACTTTGGTCCCCCATGGAAGAATGCCTCTGCCCCACGTTACAGAGATGCACCTCCTGCTCATCTGTTCGCAAGGCTGATACTCGACTTCCCTCACGCGACAGTGACCTCTCAACCTTCCTCCCCAGATTCATCTGGAAAGTCAAATCTGAGCAGCAGCGACAACATTTAGCCTCCAAGTATTTTTATTTTCTCTCTGATCCCCACTGCCAGTGAGATGCTGTGAGAGGAACTAAAAACACCTCCAGCTTCCTTCTGCTCCTCCCAGCTCAAAAATACACAGCCTCCCCGGGGGCTGGCCAGAAGCCCATCGGTATGTGCTAATACACAAGGACACACACACACATGCATGCATCATCTATATTTCCTTCTACCAAATGCCTTTTTCTTGTAATTTTTAAACCTGCGCATCAGAAACTGATTTTACAACTTCCATTTACTCCAGGTGGGAAGCCACTAGGCTTTTTGGAGTGGGGATGAGAAACAGCATGACATAAATGCAGCTCTATAATCCATCCTGGAGAAGAGGTGGCATTTGTGGAAGACACACAGCTTGTGGGGAATCCCTCTAGCCCACCATTCTGCCCCACTACCTTTCAAATCTCCTTTTCTTGGAGGAGTTTTCCATAAGGAATTCTTTCGAGCGGCCCATCTTTCCTTCTAAGATGATCCAGATGTTTTCCTTTGTTTCTGCATCCTCTCTGTCGCTTGTTACTGTGACAATCTCATAGGCTTTAAAGCATAATTAACACACACGTTAAACAGAAAAGGGAGAGCAGATGGCCAGAAAGATCTCTTCATTTGGCTGTCACTTTGCTTAAAAACTCTCTGCCTAATATTTATCACAGCATACAAGAAAGCATTTGCAAAATAAGGATGGAGCTACACTGAAATCTGTGGGACTTTTGACTCCTACATGCTTTGGATTTCATGCAGGGATAAGGTATGTGGGAAATGTGAGCACTGCTCAGTCAGCTAGCAAGGGTAGATGGAGCTGCTCTTGAACAAGCTGTGTCCAGCTGCCTGCGGTGCTAAACACTCCTTTTTTTTAACACAGACTGAATACTACAGCTTTTTGAGCCACCATTCCTAACAGGGACTGTGAGGATATCCACGTACCCAAGAGGATACGTTCAGATGCTGAGGTGGCATGTGAGAACCCAAAATGACAATCTCAAGGCTGATTTTTTTTGCAGGGGCAGAGTGAAATCACACTGAAGTAATGTCATTATTGTCTCTCCAGGACTCTCCAGAAGAAGAGCACTGCAGTGCAGGAGTTTTTGAGATGCATTTTGCATATTATCAGTGAGGTTAAGTAACTCTTCCTCACTTGCTCGCTCACCACATTAGACATTAGTGTAATTACCTCAGACTCAGTGGAATTACCTCAGGCTCAGTGGAATTACCCAGAGCAGACCCAGGGTTATGGGGTGTTAAGCTCAGCTGTCATGTTCAGCTGGGACATTTGAGCTAGTAGCCTAGAACATGTTAAGAAGGAAGCCGGAGCAATGTTACTTACAAAGCTTTAAGGATTGAATTTATTTTCCACCTCAAAGACTCAAGCCCATTATTTCTAATGAGACCATAACCATGTGTCCTTATGGCTTACTGCTGGATTGAGCTGCTGCAGAGAGGTCCCTCAGATTTCAACCCAGAATGAGATCTTTTTCTTCCTCATAAATCCTGATTGGTTTCTTTCTCATCACAGCATTGCACTTTTGAACTGAAGAGTATCTTAAATAACCCAGCCTTTGATGCCTGCAACTACAAATGCTTATTGCATGGGAACCCTTAGTGGAGCATCTTGCAGGAGATGTGGTCCTATGGCCTCTGAAGTCCCTCAGTGAATGACACGAGCCAACTCTAAACTTACCAGTTCTCTCCTTCAGTTCCAGGATATCATTATTGGCACAAGCCAGTTCCCTTATGAGCTGCCCATCATCTTCACCTTTAGCCAGCCAGCGATCACACTGGAAGCGAAATGTCTTGTCCATGGCAGAGTCTGTCACATCAATATATTCCAAGTGCCAACCTGGTGCAATTCCTAGTAAAAAACAAAACAAAACAAAACAAAAACCCCAAAATAAAAGCATAGGCACCATCCCAGGAAGAAGCACTACTTAGGGATGGCAAACCCTTACAAAGCACCAGGGAAATCAGGGCCTTGTAGAACTGTTTGCCAGAGCCAGAAGCATGAAATCTCCTGGAAGCCAGAGGGACTGTGGGCAAAAGTTATTAGAGAAGCTTCTGTCACAGAAACTGCTGCTGGTTCTTCCTTCCATTTTAACAGAAACATCCTAAAGCCAAAAGAAAGATGCAACCCCCACCACTCCACCACACATGCTGGTAGATATTAAAAAAGCCATAGTAGTCTCTGCATGGTTCATGGTGGTCTCTTTGCCTTTGAGGAGTGTTACCTGGCCACAAGCTGTAGGGGTTATTGTCTTTCTTTTTGGCCAGAATTACCCCCAAACCCTTCATATTTGCATTTGAAAGTCAGAAAGTGAATTAGAACTTGTTCCTTGGACTCTACCAGCTATGACAGTCAAGGAAATTACCCCTGCTAGCTTGACTTTGCCAAGCAACCAGGGAGAATTCACTGATGTTGTGGCTGGACCTGAAAACTGGGCAGACTAAAGTGATGCATGTTCCATCAGGGACCACCTCATCACCTAAGTTCTGCCCTGAGGCCTTCTGACAAGTCATAGCTCCTTTTTAGTTTTCTGCTTCCTTTTATTTTTTTTTTTTCTCCAGTAGAAAAGCAACTTGAAAATGAAGAAAAGGGCATTTGGGAACATTTTCCTGTTTTCTTTGTCAAAGTAGAAGCAGTCCTTCTTGAGCTTGGAGGGATGGGACGTTCTGACAATTCTACTTACAAGTCCTGTTATTAGTCAAACAAAAAAAGGTTATTTTCATGATGAGAGATCACTGCTGACTTATTATTTACATCCCAGAGACATTAAAGAGCTCTTGCTCTTCCAAGAACTCACTGCCGTTTCCTCGCTTCCTTAGTTTGCAAATACTAACCTTTAGACCTCAAAAGAAAATGAAGTCACCTTTCTGAGTTATTCCAACAAATCACTCTGCTCCTGTGGGCTGTGATCCTCCACACCATGTGTTGGCAGTTCTCACAGCCATTCCTGTTTTCTGCTTTGTCTTCCTGAACCTTCTTCAGGCTAGGAAATTACCTACTAGAAAGCGCAGACCTCAACCAAAGACACCATTTGCCCCTTAAATTTCAGGGATGCAGAACTGCAGACTGATTGTGGATGGGAGTGACCTCTGGAGAATGTCTAGTCCAGCCTGCTGGTCAGAACAAGCTCAGCTAAGGCTCTCTCAGGGGTGTGTCCAGTCAGGTTTTGAATATCTCCAGGGATGGGGACTCCACAGCCTCTCTGGTTGTGTTTGATTACCTGTGCAGAGGTCATAAAGAGCATTTTTCTTATATTTAAATGGAATTTCCTTTATTTTGGTTTGTGCCCATCACCTCTTGTCCTGTCACCAGGCACTGGTGAGAAGGGTCTGGCTCCACCTTCTGTACTCCCCACATCAGATACTCTTACACATTGGCAAAATCTCCCTGAGCCTTGCCTTCTCCAAGCTGACCCATGCTCTATCAGCCTCTCCTCATACAATAGATGCTCCAGTTCCTTATTTGTGGCCCTTCACTGAGGTCTCTCCAGTATGTCCTTGTCTCTCTTGAACTGGGAGGATGGTGTCACGTGCCAGGGGAGCTGGATGCACCACCCAAACATGCAAGGCCTCCTGCAGGGACCAGCAACAGCAAGGCAAAGATATCAAGTGGGGTTTTTGAGGTGGGCTGGCATGCAGTACCCTTGCAGATCCTCACCAGTTTACTCCTCCTGAGCAGATCTTATGAAGTTCCCCAAGCAACTTTCTCTTTGGAGATATTTGGAAATTTATTCTAAACATGTTGGCAGTGTCAGCTGTTCATCTTTTTTGGCAGGCTTATTTTTATTTAAGTTGAATGAGTATCTCTGCAGCATATTCAGGAGGCTGCTCCACTTCCATCAAAACTTTAGTTAAAACAGTACAGGATGAAAGGAAGAAAACATCCTATCCCTCTCCAGTGAGAAAGATCAATGACTACAGACCAGAATAGAATAAATTGGTGATCTTAGTCCTGTTGCCAGCACTGAACAGCATGACTGGGGTAGGATCAGCACTAAGCAGTGGGATCAGGAAAGAGACTGAATGAGATGCACATACCCTCCTCCCCCTTCTCCAGCCTGGTCCCAGCAGCTGCTCACCAGGAGAGCTGCAACAAAAACTCTGCTCTTTCATCACAGGGAGAGATGGGCCAGAGCTGGGTCTCCAGTACATGTTGGAGCTGAGGGCAAAGCAAACACAAACTACAGCTTTTTGTGTGTGTGTTCCCTGCAGAAGATGGATTTACTGGCTCTGGGCTATTTGAAGAGCAAGCTCTGGGCTCTGTCAGGGGTTCGACACTGAAAAACTATTGCCAACAGGGTGTCTCTTTCAGGGCAAGTGTGTCTCAAATCAAGGAGCTGGCTGGTCACTCTTAGAAAAATTATGCTACTGCTCCAAAACATCCTCCTGCCTGCTTTAAAGAAGAAATATTTCTCTTCCCTTTCACTATAATTGGCATTTCTTTTTTCCTGTTTTCCTCCTGATGGTTAGCAATTTAAATTAAATTAAAAGGCCTGGAAGATGTAAAGGTATCCTATATTGTTTTTCATTTCTCATGAGAAATAATTAAACCCAAGTAAATGCTGTACTGGTTATGTTCAGAGCAGCACATCTTCCCACCCTGTCCATGTCCCCTGGTGCCAGGAGTGATGTCTCATCAAGGGTTCCACTGCCACAGCACTAACCCCTATTTAAAAGCTGATATGGAAGCAGAAGGATGGGTTCAGGGTTGAAGAAACTATTCTGCTTTACCAGACAAAGTATTGTTCTCTTGTTTCAGACTGGGGAAAGATGCTTTTATTTTCTTTTAATCTCTTTTAGTTTAATTTTTTTCTTTTCTGGAAAAAAAATCCACAGGGTCTAGCAATGCACAGATTCTAAATGTGAAGACTTTCCCTCTGCTGAGCTACCTCTGTGTGCTGGGGAGCACATCTGTGAAAGGGGAAGAACCTGTGTGTGCAGAACAACTTTTCAGGTCATGAAATCCTGGTTTCAGGCTATTAACCTGTTTACACCTTCAGTTCCTACTTGGCCTTTGCACATCAATGAGATCTGAGACACCATGGCACCCAGGAAACAAGAGGAAACTACATCCCATACAGAGGTAACCCCAGAGGCATCAAATCCTCAGCACAAGAGGGTTTATGGAATGACAAACAGTGAAACAGGAAGGGAAGCAGAAAACTAGTGTGGATGTAGCAGGCTGGAGGATGTTCCTGTCCAGGGCTCACACAGCCTTGGCCATGCAAAAGAAGCTGGAGGATCTCTGCAGTGATGGCTCATCAGCCTTTTCCCTGGATACTGTCAGATGGTGGGTCCTTATCCACTGTGAAAGCCATAGATGCTCCATCACTCAGCTTCTGGTGCTTGCAGAAGAGCCAGAACAGATCTTTTTGCATCCCACTGGCACCTCAACCAGCAGTACTAGGAGAACAAGGGCTCAAGAGCAACTCCGTTACATCAATGCCTTGGAAAGTATCATGGGCTTTTCTGTGGTGACCTCAGTACAAACCAGGAACACTACATTTGTCTCTATTACTGCTTTGGGACAGAAGGGAAGAAACAGAACATATCTGCCTCATTATGCAGGTCTTGGTCTTTCAAGTAGTTTAGCAACCACTGTGCCTTTGTGGAAGATCCCCTATCACTGTAACTACTACTCAATGTTCGTAGCAAAAGGTACTTCACCCCAGGGCTTGTTTGCTGCCGTTGAAATCCCCAGCACCAAACGTGCCCTAATAACCTCCATGGCTGTGCCATGTAGGCTCCATAATAGTCCACAGCTGGAAGTGACATTTTCAATAGCGTGCAAAACATTTCAATTGTAATTACAGGAGGAGAAGAGCTTTGGGGAAAAACGAATCACTTTGCTTGCTTGATTCTGGCAGCTGTATAATTTAGTGTCACGTAGAGAAAAGTATTCTCTTCCCTAAGTGTCCTTGTCCAAAACAGCAGTTCTTTGTCCCATTTATCCTCCTTTCCAAAAGAGCCCAAGCTGACAGCTAGGTGTTCCTGTGCAGGGACACTCTGTGGGTTCTTCACAGGATCTGCTAGGTCTTCACAGGACCATGTTGCCTTTTTCCCAGGGGATGCTAAAAGCCTGTGGGTTCCTGATGTTGGACAGAGAGGCTGGACTGTGAGCTCCCTGTTGTGTACTTCTGCAGTGATGGGTGCAATCAGGTCTGATAATGACATTACTGCTTCGTTTAACTAAAGCCTCAATTTGCAGCAACAGAAGTTTTCTTTGCCCCCCTTGGGAACAACCACCACTTGCCCAAGCCCACCTTCACCCCTAAAATATGAAGCTATTCTGACACATGCAGAAATATGGGAGGATGGAAGAAAAAGAGTGAAAATGAACCTAGTGGTTTCACCATTGAGCAGGCACCTGGTCCCTGGCCTTGCTTTAGTGAATATTAACTATTCCTTGCAAGGTGAGAGCTGATGGGATCAAATCCCTGCTGCAGAACCTTATCCAGGCTTGGATGCACACATGGGCATGGAAGTTAAACTGTTTTCACTTTTCACAGCCATATTCATTGACTTTCCTCTTCATCCCTTGTCTCTCTGTAACAGATCTTCTTGGGTTTGGTTTTGAAAGCAGTTGGTTTCTGATCAAGGATAATAATTGTCATTATTGGTGCTTCTGCTCCCACAAGTCCATGTCCCAAAAGTCCTGCTTGGGACATGGACTCCTTAGGGGCCAGTGAAGTCATGATGCTGCCCAGACATTCACAACCAGCAACTGCTCAGCCCCCTAGTTGCATTTTTTTTCCCCACATTTTATGAAACATGAAGTAATGACCACTGCAAAGACAGCTCATCACTCTTGTGTTCTCTAATACTTTTTATCCCCTGCCCGCTTAGATGACC